CTTCCATGATTGTTGCAGGGAGTAATTGAGGTTTCAATACGACGAGGTGGGGGGTGACTGAGGCGGTGTCTGGAGTTGATCGCCAGGCGAGTGAACTGAGTGAATCGGAACAACACTCCAATTTGGTTCATGTGGTTCCTGAGCCAACCCATAAATCCCAGGTGACACGTTCAATGTTCCAAGATAAAATGGTCCAATGCTTGAATTCTGAGTCTTCCAGCTTGGTCCTTTCAATTTGGTGCTGTTAGTTGGCTTTGACTCCATCATTTACTGACCCAAATAGCTTGGTGGCCAGAAGGATAAGCTGATTGCCTGGCCAAGTCATTCTCTGGCAACATCTGGATTCTATGCTGCACAGACAATGCATCAAACGGAATCGATGTCGTCCACATGCTGCACGGAACCACCTGGTACTCCCCACCGGTCGCAAGCTGTTTCGAGGCTTGGGGAAGGTCCCCGCGGCGAACGGCTCTTGGCGCTCGGAGTTTCCGCTCCCTCCGGAGATAGGCGACGATCGGTCAGAAATCCCGAAGACTGGCATTTCGTGGCACTGGAGCCTGTTGAAGCACTTTTGGTGGCCACGTGGCACTGGCTCAAAAGAAAGGTCATGTGGCACTGGCAGAGAACCTCCTTCAAAGGCTCAATGCAGTAGGGTTTCTGACCTCCTGGCCAAGAACTAACTTCCGGTCCAAGGTCCAAGTCCAACGACTGAAGTCCCAAATCAAACGCTCGACGTCTTCAAACACCACCATGAAACACCTGAAGTCAGCTCTGAAAAAACACGTGTGGGCACCAAGGTCGAGCCATGGTCGAATCATTGAGAGACATAGTCACAGTCCATCAATTGGACCATGTTCCAATATGGTTTGCTCCACTCGGACTTGGTCGGAACATGGTCCATGGTCCTTTTCAGTCCATCAGTCGCCCCGGGAAAAGCCTGGGGTCCTTCCGGTGAGACACTCACGGCGTGCACCGGCGCCTCGTCGCTGCTCTCATCGCCCTCGGCACCTTCCCACTCCCAAACCTGGCGCCGAACTCGTGGTCCAGCACGCGAGCGTTCTGTGGAGCGTAGTCGAGGTCTGGAAGATGAGTTTGGTGCATGGTTTTGGAGGAAAAAACATATCCATCAAATAAAATCACCGAAGCTTCCAGGAAATTAGAATTTCTGAAAGTGACAAAGTAGATGGTAGATACCTGTCGATTGGTGTTTCTGTTGACTGTTGGATTCAATTCCACCCCCGGAGATAGACGCCGACAGTGAGAAGCTTCTAAGGAAGACCTCAAACAATCTTTTTTGGCAAACCTGAAGACAATCTATGTCAAGTTCTATGTATGCTATACAAGGCTTAGAGTTACAATATCTGTTAGACTTCCAACATGCAAGAAATCGAATCCACCAAACAAGCAAAGAGATTCAGAAAAAAAACAGTTGGGGCTGCCAGGACCTTTCAAGATTGGTGCTTCTTGCTTACTTTTGTGCTTCGCAGTCTATCTACCTTGGACCTGCTCTTGCCGGAAGTAAAACGAGTTTAAAGAGTCCAGCTCAAGCACCTTGGGTCGCTTGGGTCGGCCGCTTCGGAGTGTTGGTTTCTGGCAGTCCGTTGTGTTCACTCCTAAAGGCAGGGACTTTCAATCGAAATCTTCCAAACACCGTGGAGGGCGTCTATCGAACGCCAAACCAGCTTTCCATTTCGACGCCTATCGAACGCCTGCCACGTGGTAATGATCCCTCTGACAGGCCAAGCAGTTCTGTGGCGGTCGTTCTTGTCCTTCCCTCTGCATGGATGACACCACGCGTCTCGTCGCCGCGTAGTCCTTCCCGTCCAGAAGGATCGGATCCAACATCCCCACATGATCGACTCACGTTCACACCTCTTATGTATCACACCTCAGCAGTCACAAGACGGGGTGGTGTGGCTCGTCCCATCCAGTGAGTCGAGTAGCTGGGCACCCCGACTACCTCCATTAAACACCCCGTCGTGTGACTGCTGGCATATGTATCCTTGTTGGGGTTATTAAGGATGGAGGCGCGGGGATGCACGGCGCACCCGAAGAGGGCAGGTCTTAGGTCTCGTGTCATGACCGCAAAGGAGCCATCTCAAAATGGAATTTGGTGGACACCAGCACCACACCAGCACCATCACATGACTCTGGGCCTTGTTTCATCCCACCGATCCGAAGGAAGAAAAAATGATCCGAAGGTCGCAGCCGTTCCGTTCGAAGCGGAGGCGACGGCTCGCGAAAACGAAGCCCGTGGCGGGCATCAAATGGCAAATCAAGGCCATTGAAATACATCCCAAACCTTCAATGTATAGATTACCATTGTTATATATATATATATTATAGAATTAGTTATTCATATATACTTATACGCTGGGGTAGTGTCAGGGGTCAATGCAGGATCAATGTGTCTGGGATCAAAAAGGAGGAACGTTCCTTTTGGGCCTTTTCCGGCTCAGTCTTCGGTGCTCTTCAAGCGGATCTTCTTGGGCCCTCAAACTCCTTGGATTCCACCGGTTAAAGTGACTTCGTCAAAGGACTCCTCCACAAAAGTCCGATTCTGAAAGATCTTCCCGGGTGGTTTTGCAGACCCCCTCATATACCCCTCTCGGTGGCTTTGTGGAAAAACCAAGACTGCCCAGTGGGTCCTTGGAAAAACAAAACACTGCCCAGTTCGTCCACATTGACTCTCGACCTGTTTCGATCCCAACTGTTGAGCGCTTGCCGAAAAAAGGTCCCCGATCCAGTAGCGACAGGCAGGTCATCCACTTGTCACTCACTCACTCACTCACTCCCTCCTGAGTTGGTGACGGCGACAGTGGCTCTCCATGGATTTTTCGACCTCCTCGTCCGTCCCACACCGGTCAATCCATGCCCGGAGCACACGGCCACAGACCTTGGTGGCCGGTGAAGGCGGGATCAGTCCGACATGATGTGCTGTAGTCTCCAAGTACCTCAGAATTGGCTACAAGTTATAATGTAGAGTCTTGATTGATCAAGTCCCCCTTATGAAAAGGATTTCCAACTCAATTGCAGGGGTTATGCATCAAGAGTCTACATCCATCCCCTCCACCTCTTCAAAAAAACGAACAGGGGCCGCCCCTAATAAGAGAACTCGGGTGCATTTTTTAAATAGGGGGTCCCTGAAATCGGGGTTGTCCAAAATAGGGTCAGTGGGAGGATCCTTTTGAATACAATCATTGATTAAGTGCAGCGCTTTGTGAAGCTTGAATTTCAGATTTCGTGCAGACACCTGGGAAGAGCTTCAAAACCAAAAAGTCGCCCAGGAAAAGTTAATATAAGATCCTTTGTTAAACTCATATAGAAGATTAAAGAAACTCCAGATCGAAGTTCCTTTTTCCTTGGCAAAAACATTCATTATTCACATAATGATTCTTCATTAGACTAACAACTAGTAAAGCTTTCGAAAGGTGATGTTGCTGTGCCATGCCGTTTTGCGTGGCCTCGGTGGCAAGTGCGTTTGCGTGAGTCTGTGCCATTGGGGGAAGGAAAGCCTGCTGGTGTAAACGCGGCGTGTCATGGTGGACAAACAGGGTGGACAAAGGTGGGCAGGTAGGGTTGCTTTTGCAACCTAATAAAAGAAACTCCACCAAAATCGACCATGATTGTAGTTTAGTACAGTAGCGGCTTCAAAGGGTGTTAAAAACAAATATAAACCGTATTTAGGGGGGTCCGACATGACGTTTGTTTTAAATAGGGGTACGTTTCTTTAATAGGTACTCGGGATTAGCTAGTTTCGTAGTACTTTGTATGGTGGATTGTCAAAAACATGCTGTTCCTCACAAGGGGATGTAGATTTGGTGAGTATTTCCACGCCCAAATCAACCCCCAACCCCAAAACACAAGATACTACAAGGATTGATATCTAATGATTTTATCCACAAAAACAGTGTTGACTTCCAATGCCAATGACCCTCTACAACCGACTGAAATTTGATCATATTTACATTCAACTATCGATATTGATACTCCCTGAGGCACACTGATGCACACGCAGCAAACGGACTCTTCTCCCGGAGTTCTTACTCGTGGGGCATCGTTCGGCCCTCTTCGCCACCTGCTCCTTTTGTAGTGGGGTGTCAACAATCCCACCCAAAAGTTTGCTTGGTACTCCGCCTACTTCCTGTGACACAGTTTGCTTGCGCGGAAGGAGCCGCCGGCGTTTCCGAGTCGCCGTTTCCTTTTGGTCTGCGCCGCTGACCATGGTTACCAAGGAGACTGGGCTGTGGGTTCTGTTGGTTGATCCTATCCCAAAGTCCGAGTGTCGAAGTATACCTGGACTCTTGAAAGGGTCTCCAATGGACTACCCCACACTACCTATAGGCTTCCAGACAGGGCACCCCTTGGAGGGTCCTGGTAGGTATGGCCCTTTCTTTGGTACATCCTTCCATGTCGTCCAAGGAGCGCAATTGATCTTGCGACAGCCCTCGCTGCGCTGCGTGGGCACTCCACAACCCGGGCAAAGCTGTGCCTGGCAGGTGTTGCGGGGCAAGGTGTTGTTTTCGTTCAATAACAGGTTGAAACAAACAAGCAAGCATACAAACAAACAAAAAAACACCCACGCACACCCACACGCTCCAACTGGGAGAACTGCTGGACTTCTGGGAGAACTGGGAGAACTGGTGAGAGCTTCTTCAACGTCGGGGCTCACATCGGTTCACCTCGCCACCCTGGGTCCATGGCAATCCAGGGTTCCAAGGATGACACAATCAGCTGGACGAAACCATGAGGAAACCCATGTGCATGACCCAGACAAATTATGAAACATTACTTTGTATTTACCAACAGTCACAAGACGGGGTGCTTAATGGAGGTAGTCGGGGTGCCCATGATCCACTCACTGGATGGGACTAAACACCACCCCGTCTTGTGACTCCATGGTATTTTATCAAATGCCTACATTGACTAAAGGGAGGTCTTCGGACCCTCGAAATTGGCCCAGCCGGTCGGGCGCTGCATGGTATACCGCGCTTTTCTTCATGCTTTCCACCTGTGAAACTTGAAGTGTCCGTGTGGTCGCTATGTCATGCGACCTCACGATTGGGGGTCATGGTGTTCTGACCGCAGCGTCCACCCGAAACAGCACATGGGCTGGACTAAGCGTGAGGATGTCTTAGACCGAACAGTTCTGCAAAGCAGTGAACAATATACACTTGCTTTGGTGAGACGTGATTGCGGAATCGCAATTAATTCAAACGTGATCGTGCCATCGCAATCGATTCAAACTTTGCTAGCAGGCTATTTGCTAGCAACGCACATGGTAGGTGTGATAAGCTTTAAACGCGTTTCAAACAAATTAGTTACATATATTAAATGCATGATGTGTCAATCCAAGACTGAGCAAACATCTTGGCGACTCTTCTCTGGGACTTCTGGGACCTTCAAATCTTTTGGAGAAGACGAAAACTTGGCTGACGATGCATCTCTCTTTGGCTTCCTGTGGACTCTTCATCTTCCTCACCACCACCATACCTTGGAACGTGCAACATCATGTGCCGAAGGTGGATGTGCACGCTCGCTATATACCATCTACATATAGGACATGTCAAGGAATGAAAAAGGATTTACTCCGTCATAGATCCTCTTGTGTCGGGATCCGCATGCTTGGGCCCAAGCCAAGCCTAGTCTCCCTGACCGTTCCGGTCTGTGGATGGGTCTAATGATCCGCAACGGCGCCCGAAAACACTGGCCGCTGGACCCAGCCTGTAGAATCGAAGATGGGACGTGACCCCTGACCCTATCTTTATGGTTAATCTATATGTTAATCTGGTTTTGTAGTGTGGTGACCCTTTGTAAAACAGCTCGGTTGTTCATGGTTCTTCGACTTTTAGGGCTGCATTAAGCAGGTGACCCGGCGGTTGCTCGTCGGACAGCAACGACTAAATCGACCCAGACGCTCGCTGCAAGCCACGGAGGAAGTTCCGCGTACCATGGACCGGCGTGCAGAACGTTCCGCATGCTCCCAAGAACGTTCCACATGCTCCCATGCCTTCTGGTCAAAGGCCGCCAAGCGGTGGGTATTGACCACATCGCATTCTTGAACAATATGGGCCTCAGTGTGTGGAACAACTTTGAGTGCAGGTCAATCCGAATTTAATTGAACAGATACAACATAGCAATGTATTGCCTACGATGTGTTTGATGGAATGGGTTGGAAAAAAACAGTGACCTTTAAGAACATGAAATTCAGGAACAACAAACACATTGCTAGGATGGCTAGGATTGTGCTCCAGGCAGGCTCAACGGGCAATAAGAACAAAGCTGGCCCGTTGCATCAAATCCTGCAACATCGGCGTTTTCTTCTCAAAGAATAGTAGCTTCCGAAGCTACGCACGATTTTTCAGGCCATCGCTATCAGGTTGGAGGCTATTACTACAAGTAACAAATAGATTACAGTATATTAGTACGATGGAAAGTACGTATACCGTATACCGTTGGCTTGTTTCGTAAGAACTGGACCGCCGAACCGAGTTCTCTCGGCATTCGTGTCTTTCGACGTGCTATGAAGCCGCCAAGAGACCCAATCCGAGACACGGGTGTTCTTCCATAGCATCTCTTCCTTGACAATGTACTCTTTAATGTTCTCAATGGCCTCTCCCGACCACAAACACCAGAATAAGCAGGCAAAGACCACGGCAGAGACCACAATTAATCAACTACAACCACCAAAACCGCAAAACACACCAAGTTCCTGCCTCGTCTGCCTCCTTTTCTGGGTCATATTCGAAGACAGCCTTTCAGTTCTTCAAGAAGTTTCCCAATTTGCACCTCCTTGCCGCCACAGCTAAACTTGCGCAAGGCTTCCGCAGAGGCCATCGATCGCACTGCCCAAGCAACAATCCTTGGAACTGATCCCGAAGTGTTCTGGTGCGGTGGAACTCACAACCCTGCGGGCACAGTTGTGAGACGGACATCCCGAAGGATCATCTGTATCCAATATCATCCAGTATAATTTAATCAGTCAGCCCATCGATCAAATCATTCTCTGGCAACATGTATATAAACCCGCCAAAACAGGACAAAGAGTTACAGTACAGTGTACACCGAAAAGGAAAGTACAATACTTGCAAATGTAGGGAAGAATCTGGCTTGCGGGGTGGAATGGTCGAGACAGCGCAGCATCATAGACCAATCGGAGCTGTCCGAAGTGAGTTGCATAAAAGCCACATATGAGCCTTGGCAAGCTCAACAGCCATCCGAGAGTCATGAGGGCCACCAAGAAGACACCCACGCTAAAGCGGGGAACCATGCCCATCTCACTGCGAAACAAGAAGGCAAAGCCAATATCCTTGGTCTCATCTATAATCACCGAGCTGGTCACATCATTTTGCCTTATGGATGATTCCTCATAGGAGAAAAGGGGGTCATAATAGATGACGATCTTGAGTTCAAAGCACTTCCAATGGTATCCCGATGCCGCTCGTTCATCCGAGAGCCAAAGGTCATACATCATAAACTTCTCCAGAAAAGGATAGCCAAAAAAGCACCAAAAGCTTCTTGGCAATTGCAAGGTCATTCCCAACAGGTGGTAGCCATAGAAGGCCTGTTCAGTGGAGACCACAAACTGATAGCTTCCGCCACGACTTCTAGGGGCGCACTCGTATGGATTGTCTTGATCTTTACCACGACTGGTTTTGGTTACTGCATCGATGGCGTGGTGGTCAAAGCTCTCCGACAGCTTCAGCAAGGCTGCTGGCTGGATGAGCAAATCTCCATAAGGTGATACGGTGAATTGAGTACTGTCCATCTTGGCAGTATTCTTTCCGTAAGCAAAGGTGGCCGAGCAGTCCATAGTCCCCAACTTCATGGAATGCGTATGATTTTTCCATGCCTTCTGCAAGGCCTCTTCACCATCTGCATCAAAAATGCACACTGGAGCGTTCGTAGTCTGCCAGCGCACCCCCGGCACATGTGGCCGCACTTTGAACTGCACATTGCCTTTCAACCCGGCACGGCACATACTTTTGAGTTCTGACGGTGCGACAATACGCATCGTTACAATCGAATCGTTGTGTTCTATCCAGCAAGGTCGGAATGAAAGGCCCATATCCTTGAGCGGTTGCAATCCTTGGATTTGCTGAAGGAACCGGCGAACAAATCAGATATCCCAGAAGGGGATTCACCTATTAGCAACAAAACCCCCCTAAAAACCACCTTAAGAATCCTTAAGATACCCTAAGCAAAACCGAGAATCATGACATGCCTTGGGTGCCCAACAGAGACACATCCGTCTGCCTCAACGGGATGACCTGACCAGTGGCACTTGTAGAACTCAGGCTTCGTGCAATACGTCATGTTGCTGATGTTGCTGGCAGATTCATAGAACAATTCGTCATGTGGAAAAGACACCTGGTAGACTTCGGTGGTTGTGGCTTCTGCTGAAGTCACGCTGCCATTCACAAGTGCGCACAGCAAGGCGAAAGGCACCACACAAATGGACAGGCACATGTACAAGTGGTGCAAGTGTTCATCTTCCAGCTGAATAGAAGGCCGCAGGGTCAGCTTTTGAGGCGAAGGCCAGCAACCAAACATGGCGCTAAGTTGTCCAAGGAGTCACGGCTGGGGGTACTCAAAGTCATACAGTTCATAGCCACAATAAGGAGGTTTCAATGTCTGGAAAGGCTATGTGCCTTTCTTCTCTGCACTATGATGTGAATGGACCCCGTCAGTTTCAATTCCCTGGAAAAAGATAGATTCCTTTTCCGCTTGTTGGATTTTGGTGCGGAAACCCAATCCCCCAAAATGCTTAAAGGACGCTAAAGGTTCTTTTCCTGGGTAGGTCTATGAGTGAGGCGGTCACTGGTAGTGCCGAGACGGTCGCTGAATTAGGCCAAATTGAGCCTTTTCTGCAAATGAACACTTTCGCCATGCACGACAGTTTCCAACTCGTGGCTAGTTAGCAGGCTAGTGTCGCCTTTCGTGAAACGAATGCGACCGCTCGCTCTCAGCTGTTTGCGGCTCTGTTCGGTTTTTAAGCGATGCCTCCACCCACCGGTCGATCTCGCACGCACGCAGCTCGAGGCCGTGCCTGGCGAGCCTTCTCGGTCCGTAGCCGTTCGTTGCCTCAGACTGCGCAGCGGGCGACAGGATGTGGTGGACGGCGCAAAAGGGGGAGACGGAAAGCGTGAGAAGCAGGAGACTTGCTGTGCCAGGCGTGTTTTCAAGGGTTCACGGCCACACCCTGAGCTTGAGATTTGACTTGAACGGACTTTTTGCAACAACTATGAGTTCTTCAATATAACCTGTGTATAGATGCTGTGTATATAGTAAAGGAGTATATAAAGAAGATGAACACTCAGATCCAAGTGATTGTAGCAAGTGATGAAGCCTTTCGACCGATCTCTCGGCCTGTGTTGCCAGTGCCACCCGCGAAGTCGACGTGCGGAAGCGATTCGCGCCACATTGGAGAGAAACTCGGTCCTTAAGCGATTCTGAGGTCGTTTTCGTATTTGGGGTGGGTTTTCCTATTTGGAGAGACACTCCATGTATGCCATATATGCCTACATTGGGGTGGTTTTGGGGGTCAATGGGGCGGCAGTCCTATGGCAGTCCCATGGACTGTCTGGGGTTGCTCCTCCGCAACAGCGAAGCCAAGGCGTCACTGAGGTCGTTTTCAGCCTTCGGATCGGTGGGCGCGACTGCAAAAAACCCTGCGCACCCCAGCCCCGAGGCCACGACATGTGACACCACGATGCCAACCTGAGTTTCTTCAGTTCAGTCCGCGGAACGACATCATTTTGCTTTGATCACCAGATCCGTTTTCGTACCGAACCTCAGGTTCGGTACGACTGGACCCGACGTTTTGGCACCTACAGAGTGTCGAACACATCACCTAACCTGAGGTTCGGTACGACTGGATCCGGGACCATTACCCTCACTTCAAGACATTGATCGAGGAGAACGGTGAGCGAAGATGCAACAGAAAACAAGAAGGTGCACAGGCCCTGCGCTCTGAAAACAATCATCGCAACAACACAAAACAACACTGCTAGCCACAGACTGGGAATGACGGGAAACGGTCATCACCCAGCCCAGCAGACACCAAGGCTCTATTTCCTTCCCCGCCCAAAGAAATTATTCTGGGACTAAGTACCACACCTGCTGTTGGATTCTTGACAAACCGTTGGTTCACTGAAAATTTGGAACCGAACTGGCTCATGGCCCCTGGCAACATCCAGGCAATAGTATTTTCTGACTCATGGAGCTATGCTGGAAAATACATGGAGGTTAACCTCTTTAGTGGGAAAACCAATCCGCCAGGAAATATAATGTATAATATTCATAGTGAAATTATATAGAATAATTTATATATAATTTTATATCATTGATGTAATAATATGTAATATTGTGAATTACTAGATATAAAGGTTATCCACTTTCTTCACAAATTACGGGAATTGGTCAACAAATCCAGAACAGCAAAGACAACAATCCAAATCATCCTTTGACTCAAAAACATGGATGGCCTGCTAGTTCCTGAAGACTTGGAGTTCCTTTAAACAAATTCTCTGTTGTTTCTACCTTCCTGGTTGGACGATATGTCCGCAAACCAACCAAGTTCGTGTAGGGTATAGTCGAACCATCTCGCCGCCAAGTTCCAAAGGATTTTTGTTCAGCGATGAATGGACCAAATGAGAGCCATACGCATTCGCTATTAGAACTCTCACAGCTGAAGCTCTTGGAAAGGTCCGACTTCCACCGCTCCAAGCTGCTCGAAACCTTGCAGCGAAAGCAGAATTGCCTAGGTGCAGCGAGCTGCCGGAAGAGCCGCCCGCAGCACGGGGAAGACTGGGGAGACTGGGGAGCAGAAGTGTAAACTGGATGCTGAACCCGTAATGACCGAATAGCCATCTGTTTTGGGGAGGGGATGGGGAGTGGATATCACTTCTGAAGGCCTGTTTGGGGGGTTACTGTCATCAACACACTCTACCTGGTGTACTCAGAGGCACACATGTCCTTAACACACGCCTCCCCAAGTGTCGCTGTTCCACCGTGTTGGGAAGCTTTCGTGTTCACTGGTCGTTGGACCATCTTGGACCCTGTTCGATGTCTGGCAGCGCAAAATGCACCCATATAGGGTCATCCAATGAATGTCCAATAGACTACCCTACCCTACTTACAGGTCTCCATTGGACACCCCTTGAAAGCGCTATAGGCAGTTCCAAATCGCGTGGCCAGGCAGGATCGCACCCACCTACAGCCGCACAGTTTGTGACGCGCGCGGATGAGCCAAAGGACGCAAACATGCTCTTTGCAGGGTCAGAATCACAGATGAGTGGAGCCAGGACATTCCTGCCCATGGGGGTGTGGCAATGGTTTTGCGCACAAGTAGTGCAGGGATGTACAGTGTAGTTCGTCCGTTGGGCATGTGGGGGACCCCTTCACTGGTCCTGGTCCGTCTACCATTCATCGTTACGTGCCGACATATGTTCACTGCGTGCTGGCCCTCCCCACTGCCAAGCCCCACAACTGGATCTTGCTCCAAGAGGCTCGCCGCAACAAAGCGTCCCTGGAAACAGCGAAGGACGTCCGTGGCGAAGGTTGGGAGACCAAAAGGCTCGGCACGTGACGGACGGATCGCGCCGCTGGTGGAGGGTGGTGCCCGGTGATAGCATGGATTATGATGGCAATGATGGGCAACAAAACGCATCTGAGGTGTGAACTGTCTTTCCCCTCCTTTCTCAAAGCTCATAATACTACTACTTCTGGTCAGGTGTGGTCAGCAATCTGAAAAGTGTCGACTGTGCCATGTGATTCCTGGTTCGCAGTGTCCCGCATGGGTAGATATATTTTACTAAAACAGAAACTACTATACCTGGACCTTCCTGTCAGGGTGTCCAATGGAGATCCACAAGTGGTATAATTGATAGAGTCCCTTCCGTAAATGGTGACCTCTTGCAGGATGCTGGTAGCCGTTGAGTTTCTCCGGCTACCAAGGCCCCAAAACCGTAGTTTCTCGAGCTCTGCGCCAAAACCCTTCACAAATCGGGTCTTATCATCCAAACATAATTGAATTCTTCTTGAGGCTAATGAACAACCATCTGCTTAAGAAACCATTCTTGATCATTCTTGCATGCATTCGTCATCACCAGGTTTGTCACCGTTCACTCCAACCCCTTTGCTACCCCTCCGTGAACCCGTCCACTCCCTCCCGTGAACCGCGGTTGGACACGTCGAGCTCGGTGTCGGTGACCCGAGGGCCGCACGCTGACGTGGGAAGCGGTTCATCCACGCCAACTGCACGGAGAGGCGCCGCCTAGGACGCGGAGCGGAGCGGGTTCCGAAACGGATTTGACGTGGGGCTGCTTCTTGCGTTCGGGCTCAAGGCCATTGCTACGTAAGTAGCTTCTTGGATGATCTTCAAGCATCTTCAATCCTGACCTGCAGTCATTCCACCTTCTGAGAAGGCAAGGTAAGTAAGGTACTTGGATCCTCCAAGCTAAAAAACAATTTAATAATCTTAAAGGTGTATCCAAGCAAACCCTCTCAGAGGGTGTTTATGCGGGTCCAATAGGGCATCTTCTGGCTGATCTTCAACCTCAGATCCATCTGGACCAAGGCACATTGTGGATACTTTCCTAGTAGGAATGGCCATCATTGAGGACCTCATGACGTCAGAACTTGATGGTGATTGAGTGAAGACATGGATTTAGCTGGTCGAATCCCGTTCACCGCTCGGACACATACGACATACCTTCTTGACAGAAATCGGAAGAAGTGCGATCGAACAGATTCACCAGGGGATTGCGGAACCGGACAGATCGGAATGACCCGATCTTGCCGCAAAACCGGATCTGGCCTCACCAGATTTATCCAAACATCTTCGACTTCTAAGTTACCAACTGCTTCCGAGGGGTTCACCGATGCCAACACTACGTCTCTATAGGTAGCACACCCCAGGCAGCGCACTGGCCATACACATCTAATGAGGGTGGGCCAATCCCTGCCGATCTACATGTCCAAGTCACTGAACACAACTAGCTGACTCCCTCCATGTTTCCCGGCGAACCCCGCCCACCAAAAAAACACGATCTTGAATGAACTTTGCACCTGTTGGATGTAGAAGTAGGGCTTGGACAGTTCCATTTTTGCTCAAGCAAGAACTCAGGATCGCTCCACGACGACGCGTGGCGAACTCCTCGGTCCCCGAGCTCCAAGTCCTCGATCCAATAGGCTTGGCCACTGGCACCGAGAACCTGCGACGACGACACTTCTTCCTGTTCGACGACGCGTTTGCATCATATATGCCGACCGTTACCACATTCCCAAAGACTGCATGGGACTGGTATAGATTTATACCAGATTTATACCTGTGAGTTGGTTGAACAAAGGTGAATAGGAGGCATATATGACGGACAACATGGAGTGTTTGGGAAATACGTGGAGTCCACCGGTTCGTGTCTCGGAAGAAGGGTGCAAATCGGTCATGTTGCTGAGCTAGGTCATGTCCTATTTGAGCCAGTCCCCACAGTGACTTCAATGCTTTGATTGCAGCTCGCCAAAAATTCCCTTTCATATCATCTGGCCACGCAAATGCTGGCAAAGCGGAGCAGTGCGCGACAAACGGCAAATTCAAAGGTG